AACTGTTTGCAGTATCATTGATGGAATGTCCACTTTACAAGCTTTAATTTTGTGACTTGAACAATTATTTCTAGGATGACAATATGTAATCCATTAACTAGTGATTTCCTACTGTTCATTTTTTTTTCTGTAAATCTGTATAACTTGTACCCTTTCTCTGCTTTTTTTTTCTTTTCTCCTTAAATAAAAAAAAAAATGTCTCATTTACAGTATAAAGCTCAAAGGTAGATGCAATTTTTACACCTATGAGTATCTGTCCAATTTCTGTCTCCTTACCATTGGGTATTCTTTATATGTAAATAAGATAAGGTAATCCCGTAGCCTTATTCTGTCTTCATCATTTTCATTCATCAAGGATTGTTCCTATGCAGATTTTTGGACATTTATTGTAGCACTGCTTGACTGATTTAAAAAATCTGCAGATGAATTAGCACTTTCATATTGAAACAAGCCCGCGCTAACCTATGGATGAAAGAAAAAAATGTTTGCTGTTTATAAAAGGGATTAATGGGGTGAGGGCCAGGGTAATTTCAAGTTATTTAAAAATGAACTAGCAATTTTGTCCCTAGTGACTTCGTGGTACACTCACCTCTGATAGTGACTTGAATTTGGTATGTAAAAAGCGGTTAGTGATATTTCATTGCTGCTAAAAATGGCAATCCCTCTGTGTCCTGTGTTTTTCTTTAAGCTTTCAGTGTACAAGTGGATATGTGGATACAAGACCTTAATGTAACAGATAAAAAGGTGGTATCTAAAACAAGTAAATTGGATATAAAATTCTGCTATTAAGGAGTTGATCTTAAGCATATGGTTAAACATCTACATATACAAGCTATTAAAAATTAATTTTGTTATTAAAAAAAGTTAGAATGTGGCTGTCCCTGGGTAAATATGGCTTTAGGGCTGTGGGACTGTATGAGATGCCCTGAAGGCTAGAGCCTGGAGAGGAGAGAGGGGAGAGGGGAAAAAGAGAGCAATAGTTCTAAGTGTAAAAAGAGGAGGACATCATTGTCTCTGCTCCTGTCAGGATCTTGTCTGTGGAGATCTGTTAAGGGCTGTTGGATTTCATATCTAGGGTGATACAGTTTGGATAGGGCTGCAGCAGTGTGAAGGAGTTTTTGGGCTTCCCCTGATGGCCTTTCATGGCAATCTGAGTCATGCAGTCGTACTGGTCATCCTTAGCTCCCATCCTGTTTAGATGAGACAGTTTTATTCTTTCTTGGGACTTAAGAGGCAAATGCACTTTTGCCTAGGTGGCCCTCAGATTTATGCGGGGGGAATTGGGCCCAGAGCAAGCAACTCCATGTGTACAATGGCTGGCAGAAGGGAACTCATGGATTTGTGCATGGATTTGTTCTTTACTGCTGCCGTGGTAATAGCTGGCTCTGTCACTGTGAATGTTATTTTGGAGATGGGTGATGCAGGTATATTTTAAAGACAGGGCATAATCAGGCAATTTTTAGAAATCCATTCTACATTTTACCTACTTGTGATGACGGTCCTGCAGTTATGATGGGTGGTAGGCGTACTGTAGCCAAGAAGGATATCATGACATCTATAAAAGTGAATAGCCATGGGGGAGTCATTTGGTCAGTGCTGGAGAACTGTTTATCAAAGTGACTTGCCGAGAGTTTGAGACCAGCATCATTTTTTCTTCTTTATTTCTCCCCTCACTGATTTGATTGTGGTCCTGCTTGGTCAGTTCCCTGCATCTGCCACTTATTGCCTGTGTGAAAAGGGCAAATTGCCTTATTATTCCAGATTTCATTTTTTAAAAAATTTTATTTAAAAGGAAAAAGAGAAAAAACAAAACAAAGCAAAACAGTATAAGGGTACAAGTAATACAGAACTACAAAAAAAAAAAAACCAGTAAGAAATCCCCATTTAATAGATTGCACATTATTATCTTAGAGATAGCTGTTCAAGTCACAGGATTAAAGCATACAAAGTGGACATTCAAACAGTTGCAACACAACTGCAAACAGTTGTGTTCAATGATCCAATCAAAAACATTAATATGGTCATCTATTATGGTCACCTAAACACACTTGCAATTGTATCCTTTAGAGCACTTTCTTTCCCTTTTTTTTTTTTATTTAAAGAGAGAAGAAAAAAAAAAGAAAGAAAAGACATAAAAAAACAATGAAGTAAACAGATACAAATAATACAGTATTTCTAGAAAAAAATATATACAGTGCGAAATCACCAGTTAACAGGCTACACATTATCTTCCCAGAAACAGTTGTCCATATCACTAAATTAAAGCATATAAAGTGAACGTTCATACAGTGGAATTGGAGACAGTTCCGTTCAATGATCCAACAAGAGCTCAGTTATATGGTTTTCCGTCCTACACTCTCGAACATACTTGCGGAAATATCCCTTAGTCCATCTTACTTTCCTCTCTTTTTTACAGTAACAATTAGACTTTTAGGGTTTTATTACTCTCACGGTTCTTATTACTTTTTTGAAGAGAATAAAAACAAATGTGACTAAGCAAAACAGAGTCAGTTAGAACAGAAGGGTGGGCATAACACGTGATGCAAAAATAGAATAGCAGGTGATCAAAAGTGGTTACCATTGTGCCTCCTGCTATTTTCAAATTGAGTTGTTTATATCATCAGGTATAATAGAATTGATCAAAACAATATGGAACAAAACCAATAAAATCTACACTGAGGACCTTACAGGACTTCAAAAAAAAAAGGATGATAGTCAACCCATATTGGGCATCATAGTATATCTTATTGCCTTCAAAGTGATTGCCTATACCCTCAAACTTGATAGTATCAAACAAAATAGAATATATAAAAATCAGACAGAACAAGATGGGGAGAGCAATACTAGGGTTCAAGTCAGGTTAATAGGACAACAAAAAAGTTACTATAATATGTCCCGTTATTCTTTAATTTAGTTTCCCCTTAATTAAAAAAATGAGAGAAAATAGATTAATTTAAAAATAGGGGGAAGATTGAGATAAGAAAGGATATTGTAATAGAACAATGCAGGCAGAACCGAGCAATTCAAGTATCATTGTATTTCACCACCAGATAATCTAACATAATAGTAGTCACCATAGTGCCTCTTTCCTTAAATTATTTGAGTGTAACTTCGCATGCTATAATATCAAGCGTATCTAGACAGTGTGAAGCCTTTCAAGAGAATGCAATAATTACAGGGTATTTAGAACCTGCTAATAGAAAACAAACAATGGTTTCTATATTATCTCTTTGCCTATAAAGAGTTTTGTTTATACTATAGCTTATAGTGAAATATAGTAAGATACAACATGTTAAAACCAGTGGAAACAGATGTACTACAGCTTGATGGGACTTTAAAACAAGACGATATTAAATCAGCACTAGCTTTTATGTTGTGTTGCTTTCTTCAAAATAGCTATTTGTGCTATCATAGATACTAAAATCGAACAACCCAGGTTAAAACCATTGCGGTTAATGAGTGAAAACATTATATGGGGGCTGAGGATTTAGCCCAGCGGCATAACTGCCTGCCTTGCAAGCAGGCAGTCGCGACTTTGATCCCCGGTACCGATAAAAAGGAAAAAGACAAAAAAGAAAAAAGAAAAAATCGAATATCTACAATAGCAACATATACCAAAAAAAAAAAAAAAAAAAAAATCTCTTGGGGCTGGGGATTTAGCTCAGCGGCATAAGCACCTGCCTTGCAAGCAGGCAGTCGTAAGTCCGATCCCCGGTACCGATAAAAAGGAAAAGACAAAAAAAAAAAAAAAAAAAAACATCATATGGCTTCAAAACAATATGATTCAAACCAATATGATTGGGAATCATGATTACCACATACTTCTATGTATTCTTACCATTTCTTACACTAGGGAAACTATTCGGTATTTATACATATGAGTTTGATTTATTTCACTTATGAGTATGGTCTCAAGCTGTGTCCATTTATTTATAAATGTCTCAATGCAGTCATTTTTTATAGCTGAGTAGTACTCCATTGTATAAAAATACCACAACTTTTTTATCCGTTCTTCAGTCGATGGACACTTAGGTTGTTTCCAAGATCTGTCTATTACAAATTGTGCTGCTATAAACATGGGTGCACATATATCACTGTGGTATGATGCTTTCAGTTCTTCTGGGAACTTTACCTACAAATAGCAATGAAAAACAGTATCTGCCTTCTGGGGCTGTTGTGATGATATCAAATGTAAACTTTGATCTCTGGAAAGAATAGGTGATCATAAATGTTAGTTCTTTTGTTCCTTTCTAGAGATAAGAAAACTGATGAGACCAGCCTGACATTGACTTACTTGTGGTCTTCAAATACTTCAAAGGGAGCCACATATCACAGAAGAAAGGCATATTATTTGGTGCTTCAGAGAACAGAAAGAGAGCTATCAGATAAAAATGGGAGACAGATTTCAGTTCAACATCAGGAGGAATTCTGTAATAATTAGAACTCTGTTATTATGTAGTGATGCTTGTGAAGTAATCAGAAATTTATCTTGGAAGTATTTGATTAGAACAGGATTTCTCAACAGTGTTGCCACTGACATTTGGGGAAGAGATAATTCTCTGTTGCAGGAGCTGTGCTGTACACTGAAGGATGTTTACCAGTACCCTGGGTCTTTACTCATTAGATGCCAGTAGTAATTTTCCCTACCCTGCCTTCAGTGTGACAACTGAAAATCTCTCTAGATATGGTCACATGTACCTCAAGTGCAAAATTGCTTCTGGTTGAGAACCACTGAATTTGAGGGTAAATGACAGCAAAGTGGACTCCATCCTCCTCCGGTTGACTATCCTGTTTGTATTGGGTTCTTACAAATTTAGTTCTAGGAGGAACATGAGTTGTGGACTTGGTTTTCTGGTGGGATAGTTGATCCCTAATACCTAGGATTAAAGGCCCAATGCATATAAAATGAGAGGGTTTAGTTTGGGCCCAAGAGCAATAGAGGACCCTGCTTAGAAAGCCTGGGGCTATCTAATGGTTTGTTGTTCACTGTGGTTTTGCAGGTCATGTTGGCAGCCTCTTATTGGTCTCTCCTGGCCCCAGCAGTTGAGATGGCCACATCCTCAGGAGGATTTGGTGCATTTGCTTTCGTCCCAGTGGCTGTGGGCTTCACACTCGGGGCTGCTTTTGTCTACCTGGCTGACCTCCTGATGCCTCACCTGGTGAGTACCATTTTCCTTTAGGCTGTGGTCTTGGAGACATCCAGCTCTGTGCAGTGGATTTATTTCTGTCTACCTTGATGGAGTCATTATGTCTTTGTTAAGGAGCTGTGGAATCTAAACAGATAAAGGCATTAGAGGAAATGAATGGTGATGTCTTCCAACTCTTAGGGTAATGTAACTAAGCATCCATTGATTACATTTTGGCAAGTTCAGACTTTGAAAATCAGATGTAATTAAAAATACAGTGAGGGCTGATGTTGTGTTGTGTGCATATATATATACGAACAGACCTGGAACTGGGCAGAGGAAGTGACTTTGATCATGGTCTTTGCTGCGCTTATGAGCAGGGAGTTAACAACACACCCAACTGTAACCTAAGACTGCTGGTCGCACATCCATCAACCTGGACTTAAGGAAGGTGAGGTGGGCAGGCTGGCTGACCTGGCTCTCGGTTTAAGCTCACCTCTGCCATTACTAGCTGCATGTCCCTTAGTTCCAGTTCTCCTTGCTGTGATTTAAGTGTTATTCCACCGATGGACTGTAAAAATACATAAATAAAAATTTAAAAAGCACCAAAATTGGGGGTGATTGAGACATTTTAGGCCTCTTTGCTGAAATCATGCCAGTGGGTTGAATTTGGGAATGAGTTGTATACTTGTACGTGTAACAGCCTGTTATGGCTGAGTAGAGACAGCTAGGACCACCTATCACTCACTACATAAGCTGTTATCAACTGTTTTTGGTGATACCAATAGCAGTATGGGGTGGGCATATGCGGCCTTACCAGGTAATGAAACCCAGTTAATTCTAGGCAGGGGCAAACTGGTGCCTGGACTCCCCGATCACTGGAAGGGGAGAGATCCAGGAAGAACCGCATGGGAAGAATGAGGTCAAAGGTATTTCTTCTGTTGGATCATGCCAAGGTTAGGGGTCAACAAATGTGTACCCCAAGAGGGAGGCTCCTGTTCTCTTTCCTGACCACCTGACTTCTTTTTGCCTTAAATTCTCAGTTGGAGAAAGAGAAAGAACTAATGAGAAACAGAAGGACTCTGTCTATGGACCAGACAGTTGATGTGATGGTTGGAAGGACAGCTGTGATGCTGTCCTAAGCAAACACCATCTGCTACTTTCTTCATGAAGAGCCTGAGTGTTAGCATCTGTTTCTGCCTTCTGGACATTTGCTGTTGAGAATATCTGTGTGGTGGTGGCTTTCACAAGGCCTTGCTGAACAGTGCTCTTAAATCCACCTTCGTTGTATATGAGCTCACTGTTACAGTATATTTTACTTGTCCAGGCAGGAAGATCTTGTGGCTAGGAGGCTGAAGCTGTGAATAGTGGACAGGAATCTGGACATAGCCACTGCCTTGTCATCTTCTGCCCTCACACTCGGACCCACCTGGGCCCTTTGCAGTCATGATGTGTCATTACGGCTGGGGATGGGGGGACGCAGGATGGTGTCAGGTGTATTTGATCAGCTGAGTGAGCAGAGGGGCTTTCTCTGGGTAGTGCAAACAGTCATGAACAGATTTGCACTATCGAAAGTAATTTTGGTTTTTGCTTGAGCTAATGCATGCTTCCAATATGGAGAAGCTCCCAGGAGTGGATTCTGGATAGATTATATAGAAACTGAAGCACGGTTTGGGAGTAGGGGCTTGAACATCAGGGCGTTGAGGAGCAAGGGCTCAGAAAGGGACATAATGACCAGTAGAGCCAAGCTCACTGGTTGGCAGAAAAATTGGCCTGACAGCAAACATCTGTTTCAGGACACTTGAAATCAATTCACACTGTTATGGAAGAAGCGGAATCTATCTAGAAGTTCTTATAAATAGCGGGGCCTGATTTTTAATTGCTACAGTCACTGAATACAAATGTGTCGAGGGAGTCATGCTGGCAACAGCCTGTTGACCTCCACTCTGAGGCCAGCTAAAGGTTTCCTGGGTGCCACTATTAATTTGCTTGCGAAGCCCGAAAAGGGCAGCAGCTTGTGTGTAATGAAGGTGCTTTGAGGAGATGACAGAGAACTTTTCCTCCCTGCTGCATGCTATTAGGGTGAATGATATGATTTGATCATTACCTACTGTACACATGTGTCAGAATATTTCAACGTACCCCATAAACAATGTGCAATTATTCTGTGTTAATCAACAATAGAATAAAACTAGCTAAATGTGTTATGTCTATATGGTGGTAGACCTTGGAAACAGTGTCAGAGACAATCGGAGAGGGAGCCTGGAAAGCAGTGGGAGGAGGAAAAGTGATGGCTCTCAGGGCCCAGGCCTACAGCGGCAGCACAGCAGCAGGACAGCTCAGGTTTGCCCACCCACCATAGCAGGCGACCCACACCTGCATCCTGAGCCAAGAAAGCACACAGGCAGTTAGGGTGCACTCACACTGCCCTACACTGAGCTGAGTCTGCAGGCCGTCTGGTCTGGGCAGATGGTGGAAAAGGAGCTGGAGAACACGGTCTCCTCCCGTATCTCTGACTAGACAGCAGGATACTGAGGACCTGGGCTACACCAGCTAGGGGAACCCCAGCACAGCAAGGATGTGGCCCAGGAAGCCACCTTGTGCGCTTGCAGCCCTGTGAGTCCTAGCCTATGCCCAGAGTCAAGAGGGTGGCAGGCAGGAACCATGGGGACCCTTGAAAAGACCCCAGCCGAAAGAGCACGCAGCCCACCTGTTTCTCAGTGAGCGCATGGCCAAACAGACTATGCCATCTTCAGAGAGAATGTGGTAATTTGTCCCGAATCCATCTCTCTGAAGGCTTTCACCTGCAGGAAACTGGGACTGTGTTATTTCTCACAGGACATCTTCTTCACTTTTTTTTTTTTTTTATAACACCAGTTCTGGGGATTGAATCCAGAGCTTCAGGGATGCTAGGGAAATGTTCTGCTGCTGAGCCACTTCCCCAGCCCACCGCTTCCTTATTTCACTGTGCACAAAGTGCTCATTGTTATTATTGATGATTTTAATTGCAGACAGTAAGTGAATAAAATAGACATATTTATAAAATTTTAATTGATAATTCCTACTGAAGTGCATGCAATAACATTGAAATATTGTTTGAAAATCAAACCAGATAAAAAGAATCAAGTAAGGACATTTAATACAAATTCATTAGAATCTTGATAAGAAAGTAGGTAGAATTGTTAGCGAATGAGGGCTTTCCTGAATTTTTAAAATTTGCAAAGTTGAGACTTTGACCTTTGGGTGGCTTTCTAAGAATCATGTGTTTATCAGAAAAGATGGAAAATACGTGTTAATCAGACAAACAGTTGTGCTGGTTACTGCTGTACTAGCCAGGGTTGTCAAAATTTTGTTGTTGCTGTTCTTGTTCCATAGAAAAAAACGCACAGCTCAGGGAGTGTAGAAAATGAAATATAACACTTGCTACAAATAAAATGAAATAAAATAAAGTAGAATAAAGCTGTTAGGTTGAATCAGAAAGAAAACACCAATCAGAGAGCTTATTCTCTCTTACACACAAATGTGTTCACACACAAACAGAAGATAATCGTGGAAAACATCATCTACTTTCTTTTTTCTTGAGGTCAAACCTGCCTTACCCATCTTCTTGTTAGAATTGATTGCATCAGTCACAAGTTGTGAACTAATACGGCACTAATGACAAGTGACCATCACACGGTATTCTGTGCACACCAGGATACAGGAAAGAAGTGTGTGGGCAAAGGGTCTGTCTGGAATGCCCATTGGCATCTACTTGCCTCTGATTATAATTAGACAAAGTATTTTAAGAGAGCTGTTCACATTCAAGTTATGTTGGAATAAATGACTTGCTGCAAGGTGTAGTGGTGCATGTCTGTAATGCCAGCCATCTGGGGGCTGAGGCAGGATGATGGTGTTCAGAGGCCAGCCTTGTCAATTTAGCAATTTAGTAAGATTTTTCTCAAAAGAGGCAGGGAGTTGGACATGTAGCCCAGTGTGGGCCCTGAGTTCAGTTCCCAGTACTACAAGAAAACAAGCAAACAAAACAAAATAACCAGTACAGAATCTGATAAGGTTTGATATATGTATATTCTAATAATGACTACAAATGTTTTATCCCAGTTAGTGCATTGTCCTTTCATTCTCCAAATAAAATCTTTCAAGGACTGGCTCCTAATTTCAATGAAACAATTTCTCCTTTTTTATTCTATTATGAATCTTGTTTATGATGTTGTCCATAGGAAATCTCTACCTAACCCATGAACCAAAGATTTAGCCCTATAGAAAGTTATTGATTTATATTTTACATTTTGATCTTTGATCTGCTTATATTGTAAGGTTGGGGTTAGGCCTGTGGGATGCTCTGTTCTTCCCAGTACCTTTTTGGCCCAGACTGAAGCCAGTACTCACGGTAATGGCTTGGTTTCTTGTCACTTAGACCAAACTAAAGTCAACCAGCTGTTGCCTTCAGGCCAGGTCCCATGCCTGAGGCTACCAGAATCCTTATGTTTTTAGCTAATAGGGATCTTAGGCAGTTCCCACAGTGGGCATCATGGTCAGAACTGTTGGGCTGGGTTCCAGCTAATGACCCCTGACTGCAACGCACTCTGGGGACTTGTGTAAGCTCTTTACCCTTGGGGGATGCTGGTCATGAGGGTACTTAGTGGGACGAGCGCAGGTTCCTCTGTCTGACAGGATCCAGGTTAGCACTGAGAATGTGGACCTGGCTTCCATGTGCTGGGCAGAGTTAGACTTGGCCAGGGAGCCAGGGGTGAGTGTGACCAGAGTGGGCAGCTGGGCCCCAAGATCTGGAACATACATGGACAGAAGTGCAAGTGTCTTAGTCATTTTGGTGTCACTGGAACAAAGTGTACAACATCTGCACCTTATAGGAGAAGAGATTTGTCTTTGCTCACTTCTCAGAAAGAGTAAAATTGACCAATAAATATTTTAAAGAGTGTTCAGCAGGGGCTGGGAATATAATATAATACAATACAATATATATATAATATAATATAATACAAGTGCTTGCCTGGCAAGTGCAAGGTCATGAG